AGAATGAAACCAGAGGTCGCATTGAAGGCGCTACCTATATTGGTTGACGTATGGCCCTGCTGTTGCGAAAAAAATATTCGAGTTGGTCTGACTTTGCTTTACAGGATATGACAGATAACAACCCACTTGTGCGCGCGCTTGCACTGCGAACCATCTCATATGTGCATGTTCGCGAATTTGTCGAAGCGACGTTCCAACCTGTCAAGCGCCTGATGCAAGACAATGACCCATATGTCCGCAAGACGGCTGCTTTCTGCGTTGCAAAGCTCTATGAACACGATAAAAAGATGGTTGAGAACTCGGATCTGATCGACAGGCTCAACCGCATGTTGAAGGATGAGAACCCGACTGTTGTTTCCAGCGTCTTAGCTTCGTTGGTGGACATTTGGGGCCGCAGTGAATCGATTTCACTCACTATCGACTATGTTAGTGCCTCGAAATTGGTTTCAATTCTGGCAGACTGCTCTGAGTAAGAATCTTTGGTTCCATATCTAGGGACATTGTGTTAACAATTCAAACAGATGGGGTCAAACTTACATCCTCGAGGCATTAATGGCATATGTGCCCCAGGATTCCGCGGAGGCGCTTCTGCTGGCAGAGCGAGTTGCCCCGCGACTATCACATTCAAATTCCGCCGTCGTCCTAACGTCATGCCGTGTCATTCTTTATCTCATGAACTACATTCCGGGCGAAAAGCACATCACCTCGTTATGCAAGAAGTTATCTCCACCTCTCGTCACATTACTTTCCAAGCCACCTGAGGTCCAATATCTGGCACTGCGCAATGCTATCTTAATTCTTCAGAAGAGACCGGAGGTCTTGCGGAATGACATCCGAGTGTTCTTCTGCAATTACAACGACCCAATCTACGTCAAAGTAACCAAGCTGGAATTAATGTTCATGCTAACCACAAAAGAGAACATCTCCGTCGTACTGGCAGAGCTTCGAGAGTAAGAACTTCTCAGATTGACTGTATTAAACGTGTACTGACATCCTTCGCAGATATGCCACTGAAATTGACGTTCACTTTGTGCGCAAGGCCGTCCGAGCCATCGGCAAATTGGCAATCAAGATTGAATCTGCTGCAAAGCAGTGTATCGAAACGCTCTTGGAGCTGGTCGATGCTAAGATCCCATACATTGTCCAAGAGGCAACAGTGGTGATTCGCAACATCTTCCGCAAGTATCCCAACCAGTACGAAAGCATAATCAGTCATGTTATCCGAAACATCGACGATCTGGATGAGCCTGAGGCTAAGGCAGCCGTCATTTGGATCATTGGCCAGTATGCGGACCGCATCGATAACTCAGACGGCCTCCTTCAGGATTACCTAGCCACATTCCACGACGAAACGGTCGAAGTGCAGCTGGCCCTGCTCACGGCTACCGTCAAACTTTTCATCCAACGCCCCACCAAGGGCCAGCAGCTCGTACCACAAGTATTGAAATGGTGCACCGAAGAAACAGACGACCCTGATCTTCGTGACCGTGGTTATATGTACTGGCGCTTGTTGTCAACAGACCCAGCAACCGCCAAGCAGGTTGTCATGGGCCAAAAGCCCCCAATCACAGCTGAGAGCGAAAAGCTAGACCCACGCACTCTCGAGGAACTGTGTCTGAACGTCGGCACTCTAGCCACCGTCTACCTCAAGCCCATCCACCAGGTCTTCCGCGCTGCCCGCCCTCGGCGTCTCCTGCCCAGCCCTGCCTTGCAACGCTCTCACGTCGATGACGGTACAGGCAACATGCTCGAATACAACCCACCCTCCGCAAACATGGCCTCTTCCTCAACCAGTAATAGCGGTCTAGCCACAATCATTACCACAGGTGATCCCGTCACGCCAATCTACAATGGGCCTCCTCCTTCTCTCCCCCTCGCCCCGGGCGTCAACCCCGCAACTACAGGCCCCAGCAACATGAACGAGGCAGCAGATGCAGCAGACGCTTACTTCAGTGGTATCGGCTCCCAGCAAATGGCTTCGCTGGACCTCGATGGTACTGGTGGCGGAGGTGCGCCTCAGACACAGTACGTTGTGACTCAAAATCAGCAGCAGGTGTATCAGCCTCAACTGGCTGGTGGAGCTGCCACGGGAGAGCTATTATTGTTATAATTCAGTTTAGAAAGGGATGTACTTGTACATGTAGATAGAAGACGTTTCTCATGCGGTCTGCGCCTAGTAATTACAAAATATCTTCATTTGAAATTGAAGTTTTTAGGGTTTCTATTATTCACATCCAAAATATCAAAGATCCCTATTCCAGAGTAACTCCAGATTTTGTTTGTACATGCTGCCCATGGAAAATTTGAAATATGTAGAGTATTTCTCGTTGATCTAATGCTTTCATCAAGTAACTGTTTTTCTTCTACCTGACACAAATACTCTCCATGCTGTGTTAACCATCTGCCTTCAAAGAAGCAGCGACAGCAGACCAGGGTGACACATGAAACAGCGGACGCCCACCAAATAAAATCGCGATAATCCAACTTGAACTTGATTTTGAACGGACCAGGAAGCCTTGAACTTCCATGATCCATGGACGGGGAACACTCGAAAAATAAAAAAAGGAAAACATGACACAGAAACAAGAAACGTGAAGGGGGGGGGGGGAAGGGGGAGAGCAATGAGTATAATATGGAAAATAAAAAACAAAGTAGGCAGAGAAAAAGAAAGAAAATTCATCTCAAGTCATGTCCGTTCCTCTTCTTGTAAGCAGAAGGTTCCCACCACTCTTCGCTTTTTTTCTTTTCAACTCTCGGCACACTTATGAGACACGCGCCTCGCTTAGTAGACGCGAGCGAGATTACGCAGGTACCAGTCGACGAGACGGCGACCGGCCTTGGTCTCGCTGACGTGGATCAGGTCGTCCTCAAGAGCGTAGTCGAGATCGTTGGCGATGGCAGGCTCGCCATCCAGGAGGCCACCGTCGACCCAGCGGATCTGGCGGCTGCGCTGCTTGTTAACGAGCAGCCACGAGCGGAGCTGCTCGGGGGACACCTCGAGGAAACCTGCAAGTTTCTTGAGGTCCATGGTAGTGTAGAGCTTGAGGTAAGAGCGGATGGTGGGGTTGAACAGGGTGTTCTTGACCTCATCCATGAAGATGGCGGTGTGGTGGTCGACGGGGTCGACGTTGGAGGCTGGGTTGTCGAAGTCGGGAGGAGTGGGGTTGATGAACTTAGGGCAGGAAGAGCGGAAGAGCTCCTCGAAGACGGGCAGGGCCTCGGGGCCACCCTTCTGCATGCGGTAGAACTGCTCGCCGTACTTCTCGCGGACGGCCGAGTGGATGGTGTCATCCAGACGGGTTGGGTGGAGAGCGACACAGATGGCGATCAGGGCGTACATCTGGTCGTTCTTCTTGGCGATGGCTTCGTAGTTGTTGCCACCCTTCTGGAAGTTCTTTGTCCGGGACACATACACGAGGATGTGGCTGAACATGCGGATGGCGTCGCCGTAACGGCGCATCATCATGTAGGAGAAGCCCACGTAGTAGTAGGTGGTGAAGTGGGCGGCCATCACACGGGCGAACATGGCCTTCTTGTTCATCTCGACATCGTCGAGGATCTTCAGGGCAAGACTGAAGTCACCGAGCAGACAGTGCACGCGCAGCAGTCCGATGATCGAGAAGTAGCCGAGCATCTTGTACAGGGGGCGCGAGCCGTACTCGCCGGCAACAGCCATTGGGTCCTCTCCGCGCTTGGTGGCGTTCAATTGCTCGCTGATCTGCGAGCGCTGGATGAGAGAGTAAAGCACGTTCAGTACTGAGTAGCAGCCCCATGTGTTCGGGTTCTCGCGGAGAAGCTGGCTCTCCTCCTCGCTGGATCCAGTGCGAGCAACGCGGTTGCGGTAACGGCAGAAGGATTCGAATTGGTAGATGAACTCGTCAATAACTTCCCAAGCCCAGTAGTACTGATTGTAGAGAAAAAGATCGTTAGTTTTCTGTATTGTCTTTTGAGGGATGAATCGACCTGTTGATTTCACGAATGCCAAGCTTTTCCTTTTCATTCATGGCGTTCAACAATCAGTCGGCGGAACGGAACACCTACGTTAGGAACCTCCAAGTCCACGGGGCCATCGGAGTTCAGGATATAGTGGAAGAGACTGCAGTAGTTGTCGTAGCTAGCGAATTTGGTCTCGAGAGTAGCCTGGTATTCCAGCGGGGTGGCGGCGGCGGCCAGCTGGGCCTGAAGGTCTTGGGTCTGCGATGCACCGTGGGACATAGTCTGGTCCAGCTCGCTCATTCCATCGTCGAAGTTGACCTGCTCGCGGTAGTCGTTGACCATAGCCTCCTCCTCATTATCGGACTCATCGTTCAAGTTGGGGCGCGCATTGGCGCGGTCTTCGTAGGACATGTTGAGTGGGAGGGGGAAAGAAAACCGTTAAAAATGCAGCAAGATGCCGAGATGAAACGGCAGTGAAGAAGCGGAAGGGGCGAGGTGGGGAGGGGGGGGATAGCGTCGGCGTGTGCGATTTGCCAAAGAAGTCGAATTTTGAGGGTTTTCGCTTGGGTGTTTGTGCTTATCTTATCTGAGCATAAGCATTGAGATGACTCAGCTGTGCGGGTTTTGTGCAAGGTGCACTCAGCACGGCGTAAGTACAGGGTACCGAGAATGTCAGCATTTTTGGCTGTAAATCCTTGTACTGTCTACTTCCGCTTCGAACAGTTTCAACATTGCTAGCAACTATAGCTTCGCAACTACCTAGATACATATGTACCCAAGTACCTACACATATATGTAAGTAGGATTTTATTAACTAGAATGAAGGAGTAAGCATCCTTGAAGTGTACAACATGCTGATGGAACGGGCTTTAGACATTCTAAGAGGAGGACTTACTCTGGCTGTTCCGCGTCCTGATATAAAAAGTGATCGTGCATAACTATGGCACGTTACCAGGTCAGTTCAACTCAGCACTCATTCTCATAGTTTCTAGAGGAATCTGGGAAGTCTAGCACTAGAGAAATTTGATATGTCTCGAATATGCGATTTCATTAACTAGCCAGGTGTGAAATCTGTAGGGAAAAGACTTCCGGTGGATCAGAGGCCAGCAACTGGTCGCCTGTCATCGGCTAAAACTCTTCTGCAAATGACTGCCCCTGCCCTTCCCCTCAGTCAACGTCGCCGCTTCTTCCCTCCCCTTTTTTTCTTGCTCCAGGCTGCAGACGGTAATACTGCGCATCCTCGTCTCTTACCCGGGTGCTAGGAAGGCAGAGATTGCACTGGCTATTACCGAAGAGCTGGGCAGGCCAGTGTCGGTGTTTACTCTGCCGTGAGGACTTTCTAAGAATTGCAGCTTTTCCTCAACGCCCTCGTTCCAGTCCTGCCGTCATAATACCTCCACTCCGCATTTCCACCTTTGTTTCACCCAAGTCTGCAGCAGGATGAGCTCTCTTCCAATGTCATTCATGTAATAGCGGCGTAGATGCATTCATATCGTCACAAACACAGGCGCCATGCTAAGTTTCAGGGCTCAAGACTCCTCCACTGTTCCGGGTCATCGAAGATTGCAATAGCCTCAGGTGGCAATCGGACGCTTAGGTGCAGCGCGTTCTTCCTGATCTCCTGAATCACGTCGGCTGTTTGCTTAAATCTGTGGCTAAGAGCCGCTCCAAACCGACAGAGCTCAACGAACGCCTCTTTTGATTCGTCCCTTTCTTCCAATTGAGAAACTAAGACCCGAAGACCTGTCTGTATGGCATCGACTATCTGGCTGGGTATATGCTTGAGGCCATATGACTGACGATGGATATGAAGGCATTGCGCCGTTTCCTCGACATACTTAACCTGAAAGAAATGGGCCTGTCGGACAAGTTCTGGCTGATTAGGGTCTTTCAAAATCTCAAACAGATATATGATGGCCTGGAGACATATGATTCTTCACGCGGTATCAGCACAGAAACAATCATCGGGACGAACGCAATAGAAAGGCAGTCATGCTTACCGCAAGAGAAGGACTTGTGGGACCGGATTTCGTTCTATCTCGGGCACGCTCGGCCAGCGTTGCAGCCAGGCACTCAAACTATCGCACGGGGCTTCAGCCTTGTTGCACAACTCAACAAAACTGGCGCCCCGACCTTTTTCAGAAACGAGATTTTGGACGTCGACTAAGATTATGGTGACCTCAGCCAGTCCCTCCCTAATTTCAGGGAGATGAGCTGGCTTTTTGTCATATGTGATTTTGTTGGAGCGAGGGTATGGGGTCCAGTCAGAGTCTTCGTTGCCACACAGCTTGACATCGGATGGGGAACAAGCCAAGGGGGTAATCTTCTGCAGCTCAATCGACATTTGTCTGCACCAATTGGTTAGACATTGCTCGTTTCTGTGAGGACGGGGAGTGCTTACGAGCTCATGTTGAAGACACCCCAGGCAGTGATCATGCGAACCCGTTCCATCTCTGGCAAAATCTTCTTTTTCAACACTGCTGGGGTATCAAAGAGTCCTATATCCCGTGCCAGCTGAACTGCTTGACTAAGCATCATCCAGCTTTTCCTGACTCGTCCTTGGCATTTAAATCTGCAAGGAGTCAATATTGTGAACATGACTCGTTTGCTACAAACCAGTGGGCAACATACACATTGCACATCAAGAGGAGAGCCTGGATGTTAGGCAGGTCGTGGTCATCATCTTCGACTTCCCACAATCTTTGTGCCTCATGAAAAAAGTTCTGGCCCCGCGAGAACACGTTCTCGGGGTTGGAAAGAACATCAGGGCTATCAGAATAGGCCTATCGGGGTTAGCTATTGGTTTGGCAGGGTGGATGTATTTGCGGGATCCATACGCTGGCCGTTGATAATATGCTATTGACGAGAAGGGGCGTGCAGAACTCCGATCTGAGATCCCCGAGTTTCATATGTTCGAGGAAGATACGTTGATCAAGGAACTGCGAGCATGGGTGGTCCCAGGTAAAGTAGAGCGAGACTAGGTGTGACACCAGATAATCATCATCTGTGACCTTGGTCCACGGTTTAGCCGGCACCTCGAAGAGAGGTATGTCGCAGAGGATCTCCAGTGTGAGACGAGCATAAGGGCTAACTGTTGGCAATTGCGGAGATTTCATGTTTGGAATCTCTTCTGGTGAGCTTGCGCTATTGCCAGGGTCCGACGGTCGTCTCACGCCGTTGCCCGAAGTTTCTACGGGATGCTCGCCATACTCTAAAATCGCCAATTTGCTGGCATTCGACAACTCTTGGGGGTCTCCGAACGTCATGGCGGGGCTTCCGACAGCATGGGCGATATCATCAAACGGAGCCTTGTTCCGAATCAAATCCATCACTTTGTCAAACTGGAGTTGATCATCCGACCCGAGGGTGCTTAACAAAGACTCGAGTAGATCTTTGTGGTTTGTGAGCTCCTGGATCGTCCGCTTGACGGCAACCTTTCGTCTGAGGTCTCGAGTTGGGTCAAAGAGACATTCGGTGTTGGTGGATCGACAAGCTTTACATGGAGCATCCGGTCCAGAACACTATATTGAGCAGAACGCAACAATTAGCCATTTTGTTCCAAATTTTGGGACAAGCCAGAGAGAGAGAAAGAGAAAAGAAAAACAGGAATCAACTGATGCACCAACTCACCTTCCTCTTTGCTGCTTTGCATGCCAGGCAAGCTGTGGAGTTCTTCTTTGGCCTACTGACAGCAGTCGACGTCTGCGGAGCGAACATGCGCGGCGGCCCTGGAGCCAACGCCGGAAATTGTTTCTCATGATGGCTCATCTTCATCTTCAAAAGAGCAGCCCTGCGGAGTATGATTTCCAAAAGGTTATGTGTCGAGATTTCTGACGGAAATATACCGCGGTTGAAGCTTTGGGGGCAATGCGAATCAGTTGATGAGGCAACGCTTGCTAGTGACTGATGTTTCGAATAGTGCAGGCAAATGACTCTCTATACAGCATTGAGCCACGGTGCTAACGCTTCCTCTTATGCGCCATCGAAATCGTCGTCTCTAACGTCTCACAGGTCGATGTCAGAAAGGGGGTAAATGTCATGTCGCAATGATACAGGCGTCACGATGCGGTGCGTTATTTACGCATGAAGGTGGGACACAACTAAAAGAAACTATTCTGGAATCGATCGAAGTGATCAAAGTCCACCTGCAGGTGACAAGATCCCAAAAGCGAGGGGGTCGCTTTGGCAAACAGAAGGGGAGATTCGACGCCCGTCACACAACCGGGGTAACCCGGTAGCCCAAGCTCGAATTCAGTTATTGGAGAGCTAAAGAATTTATCAACTTGTCAATATAAGCCGATGATACGCAGATGTGGAAGGGGCCATCGAGTCGAGACCTAAACGATACTGTCAAGAGATTCGGAGGGTTGAGGGCAACCGAATATGGAAAGCCCGAGGCCAGCTTGAACCAAAGCACGAGATACTAAACCCCAAAAAATCAAGGGCGAATGAAAAAAAGAAAGCAAAAAGAAAGAAAAAAGAAAAAGGAAAAAGAAAAGAAAAAAAAACCAACCTCCACCCTGTAGGGATGTATCAGTGCGGAGGTACCAAAAGAGACTTTAGGGCGTCCGCAATTTCAATGCACGAATTTTCATGCTTCTTAGAACTCGGAACAGTACGATTCTTTGATTGTCAAACATGTTCAACTCATCTACTGATCTAATGACCTTTCCTATGAACGTCTGATTCTACTGTACTTTTTCCCCTGTCTGATTCTCTCCCTTGGCAACTGGGATCAGGTTATTCAGATATGCCGCCACGTCAAACCTGATACTGCCAGGTTTTGGGCACTGAAGCCAGATTTTGTCATCTTCTATAGGAAACTCATATGTCAATCACATATACTCCGCGCCGATCTCCATAACTTCGGCATTTTCTTCGCCACATTGCTTCATGAACTGCATAGGTAATTGGGATGACATATTACAAAAACTCCCCCGCCCCCATGTCAATAATATTGGATCCTGGTAAGGGTTTGTGGAGAATATCGCTCAGTTTACTAATCAGCCACGCTCCCCCCTGCAGCCTTCAAAGTTCGCTCCAAGATGGAATCTAGATTTCAACCCGCCTGGAAATTTGATCCGACGGGCAGGGTTCGCACGAAGGGAGCAAAAATTTCCAGCATACCGGTTGATGGGATGACCATGATATGTGCTGCTACGCGCTGTGATACAGAGTGATGAAGTGGACTTACTATGTACAAGGTACGGAATACATCTTACATCGTATCCATGGATGTGCTATGGTGTAGAATCTTGGAACCTTGTCCCGTCCCAAAGTCTTTTGAGCTGTGGATCGAATCGGGATTTTCAGCCGGGGGGGAAAAAAGGCACATCTTCCTCCACCCTCATAACCGGATCTACGGTAGTCCTTGATTATAATTTGCTATCTCGATACTGGCTGGATCATCCAATGATCGAACCCTTATGATTCGCCGGGCTCTTGCTCTCGGCAATCCCCCATTTGGTCACTTCTACTTGATACATCCCCATAACTTTTTCCAACGCTTTTCATTGGCGGTTAAAATAACAGCCAATCGGAATCACCAGAGAAAATTGCATTTTCTTTCTTGGCAATTTGTCAGCTACAACACTGAATATCAAGCAACTGGCCTGGTTTGCATTCTCGCTGGCGATACTGCACTACTGCACTGGGGTGATGTGAGCCATGTAGGGTCCCCTGGCACCTGGGTAACTTTTCAAGGTTGGAATATCTATATTGTACTCTATACATCTACTCCGCACATCGTATCATATTGTGTATACCCCCACTACTGATATATGGAATATTTTTCTCAAGGCGGCATCTCCGAAGGAGTATATAAGTCCGGCGCTAATCACATAGATTCTCGAGCCGTTCCAACTAGCCTTATCCTAAGCTCCGCGGAGAAAGACAATTTTTTTTTTTTTCCCAGAAAAAGAAACCAAACTGGAGAGGCAAACTTTATAGCCTACGTAGATGATGAACTATACATGCTAGCGTCGCGTATTGCCGCTTACGCGCCCGGTAAACTGAAATTCATGATAACGCCGGATCTTAGTTTCCATTCTTTTACATCCTATCGCCTGAGGTTGTTGGAAACCCCATCACATATTACTTCGCCCCCGCATGACAAGTTCCAGCCCTACTTAGATGCCCGAGATCAGGGGCTAGATCTGCTATGCGGCTGAGATCCCCTCTTTTTTCCCGTGTCTTAGCCATCGATTTCCTAACAACTCTTCCCCTCAAACCTCTGCAACCAAAGTATAGTAATGAAGGTGTAAATTGCCTGCAATGTAACGTGAGTTACGAGCCTCTATCACCTGCATGTGTGATGAAAGCCGCCTCACCTTTCTGTAAGAAGGCTCCTGCCAAAAGCAGAATTAGCTTGAAGCAGGACAAGAAACGCGGTTATCCTATAGTTTTGCTGATATGCTCGGTAGTATCAATGTTAGTATCCTGGGCCAGACCACTTTCAAATCGATTTGCATGTGCTTATCTATATTTGGTTGGGTCTGCCTTCCCCCCTCCTCCGCCCCCCATACCTCGATGTACTTTGTACGGAGTACACTGAGTATGTCGATGTCTGTATAAGGGTTGATGTCATTTACTTATCATTAGTGGTTCGGAGAAAACAGCCAGATCTCTTTGGTTGGCCGGATGTGTTCAGCGGTCGCCCACCTTGGCCCCCACTTTCCTAGGTTTATATTTGTTGTTTGTTCAGATGTCGCTGAGAATTTGCGGTTATCTGAACAGGCTTTTATATGGATGTGCTTTCTATAACCTATATGATATTCGTACATAGTAGTGATAGACACTCCGTTTAGCTTTTATATCTTCAAGTTCCTTTTTTTACTGTCAGAGAACCACGGCCCGTTAATGCATTGCAGCTGTAGCGGGGTATTTAATCTAAATTACTCGATTTTCCCCTAGGTTCCTTCAAATGTTTTCTCATATTTGCTTTTGTGGTCCCAATAAACCCAGCTCTTGCATATCTCGACAGGTGGGTTGATTTCTGACACCTGCCATTTTACTCCGTACTCCGTACCACATGCGCAAGCCATGTTTGCTCTTTTCCTTTGTTTTTCTTTTTTTTTTTTTTTTTAACCACTCGTGCTCTTCAGGTAAGATCAACGAGGTGCAACCTTGGAAGCACTACGAGTCAAACAATAGTTCGCGACTGATCATATATGTTGTATGTCATATTATTGCGCTCGGTCTTCAGTCGGCCTTGTTTTCTGTGACAAACCCCTTGATTTTAACCTGGTCGGTTCTGTATCCAATCGTCGGATACCAACAAGCGATGCTTGCGGCATGCGCACATGTCAGTATCCAGTCCGCATTATTGGCTTTGAGATATGTCACATATCAAGGCAGAACCATCTTTGAAATTGGTAGATCACGCCTCTCTCCTCTTATATTGTATACAAAGTACGTAGACCTCGTGGTGGGTGATAACTGCCGACCAATCGCTCTAATAGCAGTCTAGCCCTTACCAAGGTCCTTGACACATGCATTATTCTTCTTTGTCGTATGTTATAGCACGCCTCGAATAATGAACCCACTATTTACGTGTTGTATGTTGTATTCCAAATCGGTAGCCTGTCTTCTTGGTGCAAACTAGTATTTATGCAGTCATCTATGCGCTCTGTGAACAATACTTTTAGTCTTTCGGATCCGAAACATAACGTAGTCGAAGTCACGGGATTATTCGTGGTAAGGTTATAAGCTTATAAGGGTCAGTAGATGTCTGCCTTTCCGGTTAAGCACGATAAGGGACGTATCCATAGGATAGAATGAGGGCGAGGTCTACGTCCTCAAGCACGTCACATGCTCAGTAGTTCTTCCTTCATGCACTACCCATTTTACATTCCTATCTTCTTTATTCCTACAGTAGCATCTTCAACAGAGTGACGTCTGGATCTTCTCCCTTCCTCGTTCTTTGTTATCAGTAGTAGGGACTGATCTATTGCTTTTCCATTTGGCGGTGCTGTACTTCAACACCGCCGTTGGTATGTGCAAACCATACAATATACAATAGAGAGGTATGCCGGCAATTTGCATTTGATCTTGTCTGAATGACTTGTGGGCCAGTCATATTCTTGGTCGATGTCAATATCGCAGTTTGAGCTCTTCAATATAACAAAATGGTTGTCTTTCAAATCCTAAGCTAAGTCACATGCTAAACCAAAGTTTCTACATCAGAATACACAAATTAATGATTAAGTTCTCAGAACCCGTTTCTATCCGAACCTAAACTTCTATAAGTTGCATTCTGATCGGACTATAAAGACCACTTGACCATATCATGACAAGAGTCAGCTCCACATTCAAGATAACACTCGGCATAGGATTGTAAATTTACAGAGGTTTGCTTCGGTTCTATACATCCGACGCCTCAATACGACCGTCCCGCCATGCCTTGCGACCCTCCATCTTGATGACTTCTTCCCTCATAACATCATGCGCTAGTGCGCGGATACCGATAATCGACGGTCATAGTGGCCATGACTCTAACTTGCCTGGGAAAACGAGAGAAGCAACACGATCCGAAAATCTCGTCTAGCAGATCACCGTGGGTGACAGGATAACACCTGAGTAACTGCAGATATCACTTCCGAGGTGCATTATCATGGCCAAGCTTTTGTCGCTAGTCTTGTTGAATACGAATGGTGGCGCGGATACCTTCTCCGACCCAACCGGTGTTAAGGTATGAGACTCCAGGGTCAGAGCTTATCCAGTACTTTAGAATGAGAAGTTTTTGTTGAGAATCCAGGTTAATTCTCAGTAATTAACATGGAGATTTCAACGCTAACCCTAGTTCAATATGTTTTGCATATACATACGCAATTCTTGCATGCCAAGAACTTCGAAGTCCTACGGAATCGAGATTAGCGCCGTCGATGCAGTTTGCCATCTACACCACCAAATTCCTGTGCATGTATACAACCCCCAGTTTGTTGTAGCATAGGAAGTGATTTCAATTAAGGCTGCATTCAGTCAATAGAACCTGGGAGAATCCAACACTTAATGCTGCCACCGCTCATTCAGCTCTTTCTCTTTGATTCCACCACTCTGTTTCTATTACAAATTCATGTCTGCCAATTGAGGAATTCCAGGGGAGGAAGAAGAAGCCTATAAATATGGGCTTCTTTCCGTGCATGAAGAGATTAGACAGTTTTACAATTTATTCTTGATACTCCCTAGTATTCATTTTGCAAGAGATACTCCTTTTTACATGCTGTATAGTTCCTCCATGTACTATTTCAACCCTTTTTTTTGGTTCGGTTTTGATGGAAACAGTGGACTTGATATACATGTTGTGTTGTATATATATATATCGAAAGGTCGATAATATTGATTCAACTCTATGTCACTCAATATTAAGCTGCATGACCGATTGTCGGCGAACCAAATTAGAGAGCTTCATTTAGTTCCGATAGTTGGTCG